CACCCACACCACTGAGACCACCCCTAACCCTTCCTGCCTTACCTCCCACGTTCTCTGACAAGGGTGGGCACCCAGTTAGACTTCCTCTTCTCTGTCCCCTGGCTATACTTAGCTCTGCTTCCTGGCCTTCCCCAGGAATACCATCTCCATCTCCTCTGCCTGAGCTCTAAGGACCACTGCAATCCCACCCCAAGCACAGGGAACTTTCCCTGCTCTGACTCCACTAGCCCATGGTTATTTTGCTTCTTTCGCTCTGAACCCAGACAGCTGTGTGCCATTCATACATCCTTCAGTGCATATGTCTTCTCTCAGGCGAGGGACCGGACTCCCAGCACAGGGTCTTGCACACAGCAGGTGTTCTAAAACATTTCATCAATTCATTCTTGCAAAAAACAGAGGGAGAAGAAAAAGAAGGGGAGGCAAAATAAGATGACCTGCAGACAGTGTTCAAAACCAGTTGCTCTGGCTGTGGAAAACAACGGAACAGAGTTTGCATCTACCAGAAAGATCAAGAATCTAGCTACTCTTTGTTCTTGTCAGCACAAAGTCCAGCCTCTCTGGGCTGGGAAGTAGTCCCTTACACCCCTGGAAAGCCGCAGAAGTTAGGGGGAAATAGAAGGTGGAGACAGGCTGATGTTGTCATGGACTGCCCTTTCTGGCTCTTGCTCAGTGCTGTCCTACTCTAAACAGGAAAAACAATAGTACTGAAAATTATTCTGCTGGCGATACTAGAGCAGGGTCTGGCTTATCTGCACCTTTCTGCAGCTTAATGAACCCCAATTCCAGTTTGGTCCTTAGAGATTTATTTCCATTGCCCTCAGGCCCAGCAAGGAAGAGAAACCTGAGCACATCTGTTGGGACTCAAGGGAGGGCAACCACCAGGGTGATGTGCCAGGCCGCTTCTGGTTGCAGAGGTTTCAATGAAATCTCTTTTTCGCTGGTGCCTACCCTTGGTCTTCATCTTTTTGCTTTACTCTGCTTTGGGCCCTTAATGGGCAAAATATTCCTACCTGGGCAAAGACCATGCCCAGTAATGGCAATGGGGCAACAAGTCAGGCAGGCAGAGGCTGGCTCGCTCTTCTGACCTCTCTTCTCCACCAGCAGGAGACTCTGTCTCTCCTTTTTTGTGCCTCCCTCCCTCACTTTCCTCTTTATGTTTCTCCTCCCATCCATGGGTGTCTGTTTCTCTGCCCTCTGTCTTCAAACCTTTCTCCCTTTCTTCCTTCGCCACATGGGCTGTCTCTGTCTCTCCCTCTTCTGTTTTGGGATATGTGCATGTGTCTGTCTGTCTTTCCCCTCCCTATGTTAAGTATGCGTGTGTGCTTCTTGTCTCTCTCCCTGGTCTCCTTCTCCATCTGCCTGGCTCCTCTCTTGTGTGGCTTTTCTGTAGGATATGTGGACAGGGAGCCAGGACACTTAGCTTCTGGTCCTGGTATTACATTAACTAGCTGTGTGGTTACAGCCAAGTTATTTCACATCTCTGGACCTCAAGTGCCTCAATCGTAATGTAGGTTAGACTAGATGGTCTTTCAGGTCCTTGACAGCTCTGAAATTCTATCACTGAATGAAAAGAACGCAGAAGACCCCAGAAGCAGTTGCTATTGTTAGAAACAAAAGGTT